GGCCTCTGTGTGTGTGTGTGTGTGTGTGTGTGTGATGGAGGAGACAAGCCAGAGGTCCACACAGACCCAGGAAAAGGGGGATCTGGCAGAAAAATGTGGTGCAAAAGATGCAAACAGAGGGACAGACTGAGCCAGGGAAACTTGGAGAGCTGGAGAAAACACAAATGTCCTGAAAAGGGGCAGCCACGGGAGTGAGAGGAGCAAGACAGAGAAATCCCCCTTCTGTATCTACCCTTGGCTCTAGTCACGGTGCTGAGGATGGAGGGGACCTTGGGCTCTAATGCCCCACTCCATAGCACACAGATGGGGAAACTGAGGCATAGGAGGTGAAGTGACATATGGGACACACTCTGTCAACCCCCTCCCCACCCAGGGCACACTTCCTTGCCTGTCCCCCAGCCCCTGGCTTATCTTAGAAACTGGCAAGGATTTGCTGTGCCCCCCCACGCCCCCCGGGGTACATTGTGAGCCAATACTCCAGGGAAAGCCTTCTCTCCTGACACAGAGTTCCTTCCCAGGTTAGCACCAGGCACTGGCGACCGACCGGCTGAGAAAGCCAAGGCTGGTAGCTGAGGCCACCTGCCACATCTTTATGTCGATGGCCCTTGTCCTACACCAGGGTGACAAGCAGGACTTGGAGCTGCAGAGAAATCACAGGAGACCACCTTGAGGCACGGACCAGGGGTGGGTGGGGATCTAGCTGAAATCCGGGGTCGGGGTAGGAGGAGTCCAGACCTAATGACTAACTGACAGATGGGAGAAACTGAGACAGGGGTCTCCCTGCCTCAGTTTCTTCATTTGCCAACATGGGGCGGGGGGCTGTGGCGATGAAGAGGGGAACCTGACGGGCAGTGGGAACTCAGGCAAGGTGTTAGAGCTCCTCTTGGAGCCCTGTGTCCTTATCTCTTCCGTGAGTTGTCATGGCAGATGATCCCCGGGGCCTTACTCAGCTCCAAACAGCTCCGGACATGGATGGGCTGAGAGAGCAGAATGATCGGAATGCAAATCCCAGTGCCAAGGAGGGTCAAACAGCCCTTCACGGGACCCTGGCATAGGCCACATAGAGAGCCGTGGAAGAGGCCCAAACCCCGTGGTTCTGGAGGTAGCAAGCAAGGGAGGGTACCATCTGCCACATTCTGGGCTGGGATGTCACTGCCAGACACCACTCTGTATCCAAAAGCACCTCAGAAGAGCTACCAGCCCATTCACTCCACCAGGACGCATCCTTGTATCCTTCGGGGGTACTCCACACTCACAATCTTAACCTTGACCTCGCTCCTCAAAGGTAAGTCTGCTCATACTTAGGACTGTTTTATAGGTGGAGAAACTGAGGCTGAAGGAGATATAATCACTTAAGGTCTCTGAGCTGGGAGGAGACTTCTGCCTGTTTGCGTCTCAAGCCCACGCTCTTCACCTTGAGCCTCATCTCTGTTCCCTTCTCTAAAATGGGTTTGATCATTATGCATTAGTCTCCTGAGCAGCTGGCTTCAAGGAACCAAAGGGAGCCATATGTGTGTGAAAAGGACATGAGCCTCTCTGGTGACCTTTACTCCCTTAAGACCCGGGTGTCTGGACCACAGCCTGATGAGAGGACCTTGAATTCATGGCACCCGTGTCTTCTCTCTCCACAAAGGAAGGTCTTCAACTTTTTGAAGAAACAGACTGTTTTCCCTCGGCCTTGGACGCAGCCTGTGGGTATTTCTGTCCCTGGCATTCTTTGGCTGCAGGAAGAAGAGTCATGCCCTTCTGAGCTTCCCGTGGGTGGGGTACAAGTTGGGCTCAGTGTGCTTCTGATGTGCTGGTTCCTGGTCAAAATCAGCCCAGAAGGCAGTTGTGCCTCGCTCGGTCTGTCCGAATGCGCAAGTGGATTCCCTAGAGCCGGGCTTTGGGGGGGAGTGCTGTCAGGGTTTTCCCACTTCTGGCTGCCAACCCCAGACTGCTATACAAATGAAAGGCGATATTATTAAGTGAAAGAGCTTTAGGAACGGGAAAAAGCTGTCTTTGGGGCAGAACATTTATTATTAATTTTGATGGAACTTGTTCTCGAAGCTCTTAAGAACTAGAAGGACTCTTAGAGACCATCTCGCTCAGCCTTCCTGTGTTCCAGATTAGGAAACTGAGGCCTGGACAGCAAGGAGAAGAATAATGAAGATCTCACAGTGAGTATGATGGGCGCTTATGCAGCATCCATTATAGATGGGACCAGAGCACCATTGCATGTTCTGAGTTCCGGAGGACAGCTGCCCTGTCCATCCTGTCCATCCATCCTGTCCCCTGTGGTGGGAGGGTGGCAATGGAGGAGCATGCTGGCACAGTCAAGGTTTTTGATCGGCCCCTGGGACTGCAGGCATGATCTCATCCATCTTCTTCCTGGTGACCTGGGTGGGCTGTATCAAAGACTTAACAGCATTCCTTGGTTCCTTCTGTACAGGACCCTTGGACCTGTCCGTGCCTGCCCAAAGTCAGCCTGTCTCTTCGTCTGTGTTTGCTGTAGCTTTGGAGGTCAGCCACTGCCTTGCCTGCTCCTTGAGTCCCACATCCCTAAGTAGAGGGCTTGGACCAGAAAACATCAACACGCCTTTCACTTATAACATCCCATGACCTTCCTGGCCTGATTGCATCTGTTTACGCCAGTCCTCTTGAGAACTATGCAAAAAGGGAATAGCCACTTCTTTGAAGACTAGTTTGTGGGGAAAGACGCAGCAACAAGGTTAGGGTAAACTGTTTGGAATTTATCACTAACTGCCATGCTTTACTGTACGCTAATCACTAGACACAGCCATTTCCAGCGTAACACACCACTCCACCCATCCATCCGTAAGTCCTGGGCACATCTGTAATCTCTCATGTTTCATGAGACTCTAAGGGCTCCAGGGCTCCCATCAGGTGGGATGCTGGGACCTCCGTGGCTCTGCCATCTTCTTCTGCCAACCAGCTCAGGCTTCAAGACCCAACTCAAAGGCTACTGTCTCCATGAAGCACTTCCCAGTTTCCGCCCCACCCCCAGCCCTTGTACCTCTATGGACATCCGAGCTTCAATTCTTCTTACCAAGTAGATTATTTGCTCTTAGGACTGCCCCGCTGGCTTGGTCTCTTTTCTTGGGTAGAGATCCTTTTACAATACTATTCTTCCCATAATGCTTTGTATATCAAAGTCACACTACACATTTCCTTAGGTCCTTGGGACACAAGCCAAGGCCAGGAACGGTTCTGGTTCTGCTGGATTTTGCAACCAGGTTGAGTGATAAAGGGATTCAGACAGTTGAGTCTAGGGCAGAAAAACCTCGGCCTCCTGCTTTCCATGCATACAGACAATAAACTTCTCAAACCGGAACAAGTGCTATCAGGGAGGAGGAAGGTGGAGGCAGAGTCAAGTGTCTCAAAGGGCTAAGGAAGCATGTTGTGCAGCGTGAGGTATCGAACTGATGGTCCAGACAGAGGCTTGGGCTTTCGGTGCCGATGTGGCTGGGTGAACTGGGGGAAGTTTTGGCCTCTCTGCCTCAGTTTCTATTTCTGAGAGATAAAAGCATCAGCTGTGTCCCGATGACGCTCTTGTTCATTTTACAGTAACCAAGTGTGTGAGCCTGAGGAATGGAGGCACAGAGATGCTCCATTCTGTTACTTCTGGTCCCCACTGCATGGACAGTTTGGCTGAAGACCAGGGCAGGCTAGGGCAGGGCCAGTGAGGGAGTAGAGAAGCTGACCTGGAGTCAGACAAACCTGGTTCAAGGCCTGACACATCAGTTATGAGCTAGCAGAGAGCCTTGGGGAAGTTGGGCAAGTTCTGGTCCATCTGTCTAGAGTAGACTATAAGCTCCCACAGGACAGAGACAAGCCTTTTTTTTTTTAAAAAAAAACCTCACTTTTAGCTTTAACACAACAGTCAAGACAGAGAACGTCATTTCAAAACCTCCCTCGAGCCCTTCCTGCTGGCTCCAGCCACCTGGGTGGGTTGGTGTGCCTTGGGGCTTCAGAGAAGCCAGCAGAGGCAGGGGAAGGGGCCCAGAGCCATCTCAGTATCAGCCAGGGCAGGCCTGAGTAGTCTTGGACCAGGGCTCAGGATAAAGACAGGAAAACAGGGGTCGTGCCACGCCGCTGCTACAGGCCGCTGGACCGAAGTCACAGCCCTGGACAGCAGGTTGTGGGTGTGGCGGAGGGGTTTCTTGGTGTATCTCCGGAGGCAGTGAAGTTGGGGATTAGCTCGGCTTTCCAGAGCATAACTGGTCCCACAGCAACGGCTTGCGTTTGTCAAGAGCTGCTGTTTGTTTAACATCTCAAGCCCAACTCAAACACAGAAGGCAACTGTTAGGAAAGCCGGGCTCTGTGGGCTGCTGGGGGAGAGCTGGGCTGGGAAGCTGGACACCTGGTCCTCTTAGTCTTGCTCTAGTTGGGCTGTGTGGCCCAGGGAGAAAGGCTGTTTCGGTCTGCGGCAAAGGAGGGCTCAGACTCAAAGGGTGCAGAATCCCAGCTCCTAACAGGAGTGAGGACCAACTGGTCTCAGAAACACTGCCGGGGGGAGCTCTGGTTTGCTCCTGACTACCATTGGCATAAACATAAAATCCTCACCCTAAACGGCCTGTCCCATGTCTGATTGTACATCCCCCTCCCCCCCACACTCTCCACCCCCTGGCCAGGCAGCCTTCCTTTCTCTGGCTTGTAAATGCTACTCGCAGTGAGCATCCTCCTCCATGAGTGCTTGAGGATGTGCTGGGAGCTGTGGCTAGGACCCATACCCAGAAGTGGCCACAGTGTATCTACAACACTCTCCCCCCATGTGTTCCTAAATCCTGCTGCTTGTCCTCAGCAGGCTATCTTGGTTTTTATTCTCCCCGGCAGTGTGGGAGATTGCCCACTTCCTCCCCGGAGTTGCTATTACTCACTTTCTGATTTCGATGTCGTTTCCAGGCCTCCCTATTTTCTCCGTAGCCTCCTCCTTGTCTCTCTTTTCTCCTCTCTTCTTTAGAACCTCTGCATCCCCACACTGGAAGCAGGGCCAGAGGGTGGACTCAGCCATGACTGAGATCTCTTACAGACCAACAGGTAAGACCCAGTAACTCTTCTCCAGCCTGTCGTATGTGGGCATGAGCATGCTGTGTGTGCATGTGTGTCTGTGTGTACAGGAGCTTGTGAGCCTTACTGTCTCAGCTTCTGTCTTGGTCTCCTCCCCATCCTCTATCTTCTAAGCCTTCACATTTTCTACTCTACCCTTCTCTTTTCTGTCATTAAATTACATAATTAAAGCCAGAGAAATCCTTAGACCTCCAGTACCTATGAAGAAATAGTTTTGACAAGGAGCATGGCTACCTCCAGGCTTTGGAGCACACGGGGCCAGAGCTGGAATTCATGCCCAGCTCCCCCAGCTGTCCTGTCTACAACCACGAGATAAGTCCCTGTACTTGCCATTTTCATTGCAAGAATCAAGTTCCCAGATTGTCTCTTGGAGAGATTCTAGAGTGGCCATGGCCAATCTTTCCGGACAAACACACAGCCACTGAAGAAAAGAAAGGCCGGACGTGTCGTCAACAGCTCACAAATCTTGAAATCCTCCTTTGCAGGTTTATGGCTTCTGAGAAGCAGAGGCAGCCTGTTCTCAGCACCAAACACAATAATTATAATAGCACTCGCAATGATTAATCAGCCAGCGCGTATTGAGTGGTGCTGGGCAGGCACGGCAGGGCGTTCGTGTGTGTGTGTGTGTGTGTGTGTGTGTGTGTGTGTGTGTGTGTGTGTGTGTGTGTGTGTGTTGGGACAGGGGGACAGGCAAAAGTGGTGACTCCACTCCCACAAACTCCTTAATGGAAGAGGGTAAAGTGGCACCACAACCCTTCTTGGAAGTGTCATATTTAGGGATTCTGGGGCTGTCCAAAACTGCGGATGATGTTCTGGCTCAGGCAGGATCCGGAGTTTCACAGGGCTAGCCGCCGAGAGCTCCAGACTGCATCGAAAGCAAAGCATTGACAAACAAGAACAGGTTCCAGGCCTGTCAACCAGATTAATGAGGGGCCTCGCCAGGATGATGTTCATGGTACAAGTGAGAGAACTTGGGATGTTCAGCCTGGAGAAAGACACGGGGGCCATGTGAGCTGTCACCCAAGGAGGGATTAGCTTTGTCCTGTGGGGCCAAGCAGGGACCAGTGATCTGCGGAATGATGCAACCAGCAAGCAGCGGAAGATGGAGTGTTCTCCACGTCTCCCAGGAAGGGACAAACTGCTGGGCATGGCAGTGACCTCATGGTGAAGAGGGCATGCAGGCATAGTCTAATGGATCCATTTTAGAAAGATTCTTGGAGTTAGTCTCATGCCTGGCACATAGTATGTCTATAAGAAATGAGTGTATTGGGTTCAGGGGCTAGACTAGATGCCCTCTATGATCCAAGTGGGTTCAGTCTAACATTTCTGGAGCAGTCTGTCTACGTCAGGCACTTTATCCCTCCAGCCTGGAATGTTGTAACTCCCTGGCTCTCAGCCTCCAGAGGGGCTGCTCTGGGCATCTTGCTGCTGAATCTCCCCAGTGACGTTTTCTCTTGACTATCCCCAAACCAGCCCTAAAGCCCACCCACATCTACCCCACATGCTGCCCCCTGCGGAGGTCCAACATGCAATATGCCCAGTAGCCCTGGGGCTTCAGCAAAGGAAATGGGCCTGTGGCAGGCTAATTACTGGGAGCTGATTCTATTAAGTAGATAGCTCGCTCCCAGCAAAGCAATTACACCTAATCAGCCCCTTGCAGCAGCCCAATGGGACAGCAGTGTGAGCCAGACACACGTGTGAGCAGGGACACCAAAGCAGCCTGGGAACAGGCCTGGCAGGATCTTCTGAGGCCAGGGATGCTCCCAAAGTAGTCTCAGGCTACCTTGAGGTCCCAGCACTGTGGAAACAGCACCGTGGTGGTGGTGGTGGGGGGGTGACTCAAACCCCTGAGTGAAGACTGAGCTCTGCTATGGAGGAGCTGAACTTCACTGAAGAGAACACGTCTCAGACTAGAGAGGACCCATTCCAAGCCTGAATCGCTAGTCGGTTAGATTCTCATCTAGATTAAAGTTAGTCGAAAGAAACCCATTTGCTGAGCTAGAGAGACAGTTCAGTCTCTTGCTTTGCAGATGCAAGGACCTGAGTTCAACCCCACAGTCTACATTAACAAAAACCAGACAGGACAGTGCACATTTGTAATCCCAGTGCGGGGAAGGTGGAGACAAATGGATCCTTGGGCTTCACTGGTCAGCTAATTTAGCCTACTTGGTGAGATTCAAGCTGGTGAGAGACCCTGTCAGTACTTGGTGAGATTCAAGCCGGTGAGAGACCCTGTATGTACTTGGTGAGGTCCAGCCAGTGAGAGACCCTGTCTGTACTTGGTGAGGTCCAGCCAGTGAGAGACCCTGTCTGTACTTGGTGAGGTCCAGCTGGTGAGAGACCCTGTCTGTACTTGGTGAGATTCAAGCCTGTGAGAGACCCTGTCTGTACTTGGTGAGATTCAAGCCAGTGAGAAACCCTGTCAGTACTTGGTGAGATTCAAGCCAGTGAGAGACCCTGTCTGTACTTGGTGAGGTCCAGGCAGTGAGAGACCCTGTCTCAAACAAACACAATAAAATAAAATAAAATAAAATAAAATAAAATAAAATAAAATAAAATAAAATAAAATAAAATAAAATAAAATAAAATAAAAAGATGGACAGTGTTGTGAAAATGAATGCCAATAAAAGTTGTCCTTTGGCCTCTACATGCACATGCACACACACACACACACACACACACACACACACACACACACACACACACTCCTCATATACCCCCCACACTTTTTTTTTTAAATATCCAGACATGGGAATGCATTTTCAAGATCAAGTTATTTAGGCTGTGTTTTAAGATTTTATTTATTTTTATTCTATGTGTATGAGCGTTTGTCTACATGTATGTATGGTACACCACATGTGTCTGTGCTTGGTGCAGAAGAAAGTGTTAGGTCCCTTTGAATTGGTGTTTAAATGGTTGTGAGCTGCTGTGTGGGTGCTGGGAACCAAACCTGGGTATTCTACAAGAGCAGCACATACTTTTAACCGATGAGCCATTTCTCCAACCCCATCAGATCATATTTTTTAAAAGACATGGAATATTAAATATTTAGAAGATATAGATATTCTATTTGTATTCATAGTTTTATCTAGAAATTTTAGAAAATGAGTTTTCCCCCAAACACCCATGACTTTTTTTTTTTCAAGCCACAATTTGGTGACATCTGGGTCCCAGATTTATCAAGGAAGTAGGGTCAAGTTCAAGTATGAAGAAGTGGTGAGAGAAGGTTCTAGAAATGAATGGTAAGCAGGAGATGCTGGCCAGCCAATGGCTATTGGTCCGCTGGCTCACACAATGCTTTCCTTCCCCCAAGGAAAAAATTCCCTTTGAGAGAATGTAGGTGTTATCAGGATGATGAGGAGGGCGGTTCTGAAACATCTGTCCCTTCTGGCATTGAAGCTCTGGGACTCTGGGCTGGTATTGGTGTGACCCAAACTCAACAGACGGGCTGACCGGCCGAGGCTGGGGGGTGGGGCACAGGAGGCAAGCAATCTCTGCGGTGCGTCTGTGGTGAAGACGCTGTTAGCACTGGGGCCTGGGGCTGCTCTCCTGCACTATTTTCTCCGCCCTGATGGTCATAATTACGGCTTTGGGAGCAGGATGGCCTTGCAGGAGCGGTCACGGGGACACCTGGCTTCCTGTTTCTCCTGGCCTTGGTGATCTCAGATGACGGGTGCCCATGCAATTAGACAAGGGCCTTGGTCTGCCCTCTGAGAGGAACTCTCTGGCTTATCAGCAGCCAGTGTCCTTGTGAGGCCACAAGTGGCCCTTGCACATTCACAGCGGGGGCAGTGGTGAAAGGTGACCATGGCTGGGGAACGGGCCCGGGGAAAGCTGGTTCCCTTGGGTGGGATTGAAGGGAGAAGCGGGAGAAGGTGGCAGGCTGAATCAGGTTTGGGCTTCCTGTTCCTCCGCAGCTGCTCAGCACTTTCCAAGAGAGTGGCTGTGAAGAGGATCCCACTTTGTCCCCATCTGCTTCCACTGGTGACAGACACCAAGGCCAGCCCGGGAGGCGGGTGGTACCTCCAGTACAGCTAGAGCAATCCTGACTGCTACCTCGAGGCCGGAGGGACAGAGAGAGGAGAACGCCAGGTACCTGACGGGGGCGTCACACATTGAGATCATGGCCTTCGTTGGCTCTGCCTAGTCCCCAGAGTGACCTCACACCTTGTCCCATCCACCTTACTCCATCTCTCTGAAGGCTATTTGCTCGGCCATGCATAGCGTTTGCCATTCTGCTAAATGTATGGGTCTCTTTCTTGTCTTTATACCAGAAACACATGATACTAGGTACATGTATTTAGGCGTATGCTTAGTGCTCCTGACAATATAGAAATGGGACCCCCCC